GGAACCGGACAGAACTTGTTCGGGGTAGGTGGGATTGGGTGCTAGGACCCCCCACCTGTGTATAGGCCCGGGGCCATCTGGGGCAGAGATATTGCTGGGGTGTTGGAGGGGTTTTGCTTGTGAGGCTTCAGGCAGGCTGCTGAAGCGCTCTGTGGGACTGGTGTGTGGCCTGTTTGGGAAGGTCACCAGTCTGGGGGCTGTAAGGAGCCCCGAAGTTGAGCAATTCGCCCTGAGCGGATGCCCTCAGCTGTGCCCAGACTCGGCCCCATCTGTCACATTTGCCCAGTGTGTCTGCCTGCTTGTCAGCTTTCAGCTTTCTAGGAGGACCTGTCGTACTCTTTCTGAATAGGATTGCTCCTCTGGGTTCAGCTACAAAGCATCCATGTCATGAGATGGAGAGACACTATATTTGGGTGCAGAAGACAGACATGTTCCTGGGACAGAAAGTCTCATTCAATCAGCAGGACCCAGGGCAGCAACTCAACAAGGTTCATGAGGGTTTCTGAACCAACACTGGTAGAACCACGCTTGTGCAATAAGAATAACTTGAGCCCTGTCCTCCTTGATCTTCTGCAGGACTTTGCTGATGAGGGGAACTGGAGGAAACACGTACAGTAGCCCCTCTCTCCCGGGAGCATCAGGGGAGGGATAGCTCAGTGGTTTGAGCATTGGCCTGCTAAACCCAGGGTTGTGAATTCAATCCTTGTGGAGACCATTTAGTGATTTGGGGCAAAAATTCATCAGGGATGGTACTTGGTCCTGCTATGAAGGCAGCAGACTGGACTTGATGACCTTTCAAGGTCCCTTCCAGTTCTAGGAGATAGGCAATCTCTATTAATTTAAAGTTTCTGAACAGAACCCCTTTTCTAGACCTTTTCTGGAGCAGAAAGTGAGACCTTTCCTGTTAAGTCTGGTCCAAGCAGGTCCACGTGGGGATGCACTGCTTCTGGAAGATGATAAAGAGCCCACTCGTGCAGAGAAGAGAACTGCTTGCTCAGTTGGTCAGTGACCGTGTTCCTTGTCCTTGCCTGCAAAAAGAGCTCATGGAGAACACAAAACCCCAGCGATGGACAACCTCTTGGCAAAGCACGATGAACAAGCCCCTCCCTGCCTGCTGATGTAGAACATCATGGCCGTGCTGTCTATGAGGACTCTCACCACTCTGCCTCGCAGGTGAAGGAGGAGGATCTTGCACATCTTGCGCATCACTCTGAGCTGCTTGACATTTCTATGAAGGGCGGTTTCCTCTGTGGACCACTTGTGTTGTGTCTGCAGGCTGCTGAGCTGAGCACCCAGCCCAGATCTCAAGTATTGGACACAAGGTTGGCCTTATGCAGGGTGGCCCAAACGCTGATCATGTCATGAAGTGAGTCAAGAACTTATGCTAGGATGGTCACCACCCAAACCAGAGGTGCTTGAAGGGTGAGTGTATACTCAGACTGGCATAACGCACCACATAGGTGCATGCTGCCATGTGGCCTTGGATGCCGAGGCAGACGTTGGCAGTGGTCAGCAGAGAGATGAAGATTTCTATGATGAGATAAACCATTCCATTCTCTCCACTTGTCATCAGTTTCCGTGTGTGTGTGTGTGTGTGTGTATGTGTGTGCACAAAGCCCATCAGAACCAGCCAGCACCATCACAGCGCACTGCTGTATTGTTCTTAAACACTGAAACATTCACAGTGAATATATTAGACATGTGGACTTTAAAAAATGCTGCTGCTGTGTCTATTAGCACAGCACAGGAGAGAGAAGGTCACAGATTCACAGGCTACGTCTACATTGGCCCCTTTTCTGGAAGGGGCATGGCAATCTTTGAAATCGCAATAGGGAAATGCGCGGGGGATTTAAATATCCCCCGCGGCATTTAAATAAAAATGTCCGCCGCTTTTTTCCGGCTTTTAAAAAAGCCGGAAAAGAGCGTCTACACTGGCCCCGATCCTCCGGAAAAAGCGCCCTTTTCCGGAAGCTCTCCGATCCTCTGGAAAAAAAGCCCCTTTCTGGAGGATCTTATTCTTACTTCGAAGTAGGAATAAGATCCTCCGGAAAAGGGCTTTTTTTCCGGAGGATCGGGGCCAATGTAGACGCTCTTTTCCGGCTTTTCTAAAAGCCGGAAAAAAGTGGCGGACAGTTTTATTTAAATGCCGCGGGGGATATTTAAATCCCCCGCGCATTTCCCTATTGCGATTTCAAAAATTACCATGCCCCTTCCGGAAAAGGGGCCAATGTAGACGTAGCCACAGAGTTTCAGGCCTGATGAGACCATTAGAACATCTCCTCTGACCTCCTGGCTCCTTCCTCTTTGTTGCCCCGAGCCCACAGATACACCAAGCAGTCACAGAGCTCACACATCTCAATAGACAGAGCAAGAGACAGAGCAGGAGACCTACCAAGAGATAACAGAGCCTCCTCTTCAGCGCGTTTCTTCTGAGAGACTTTTTGCTTCCCTGTGAGACAGAATCAGACATTGCCATGAGACAGGGAAGGAAGGGGGCATTGAGCAATTTGCTAATACAGGTGGGGCAGGGGACCCCAGTGTGTTTGTTAGTTTGGTTTAGCTCCTAAAACCAACCCAAGGTCAATATCTAAACAATAAGATGTTCCCAGGCCCCTGCCCAGGACCCCAAAGGGCCAAGCTCTAAATATGCAAATGACACCGCCCCATTACCTGTGCATCCAAGATATGCACAAACTCCAGCAGCGACGAGAACCAGAGCGAGCAAGGCCCAGAATGCAGCCAGCCAGGGAGACACCCGGGGGAAGACGTCACCTGGAAAACAGAGAGCGCAGAGCGTGAGGAGCAGGGGCCCATAATGGAGCTGGAGAATAGGGTTTGCCACTTGATCTGACAGCTGAGCCCTGATTCAAAGATCCCTAGAAGTTCATGGGAACGAAGGGCACATCCCCTCCTGGATCTAATCACAGCCAAGCTGATGCATCGTCAGGTACAAGAATCAGGACTCTGCTCTGCCCAAATCTCTTCACTGCTAGCAGCCAAGAGCCAGTGACTCCATGCCCAGACTGCCCAGCCCTGGCTGCACCTGCTGGCTGTTAGGACGGTCACCGCACCAGAAGTCAGGGGGTGGGACTATCTATATAAAAGTTCAGGCCAAGAGATTAGTCAGCCCCAGCCGCCAGAGGAAGCAGAGTCCTGCCCTACGCTCCCAATCTGGGAGGCTGCTGAGGACCTGAGAGACACTGATGATTGGGACCACTGGGCCCTCAGCCCAACAAGGAAACCGTGCTGACCTCACCTGAGGGGTCGACTCCTGATGACGCTGAGGATCTGCTGTGGAGCCAGGTATACTCCAAGGGGGAGTTTGGAAGTGACCCAGGGGAAGCCAATGACAGTCACAGTCAGGTTGACCTTATTAAGTTTGAGTGAGTCAGTGTGCTGTGGGCTGGGTCCAGGGCCCTGGGTCAGGCCGTAGTAGAGTAGGGAGGGCCTCCATCCCTGCTGACACTCCAATCTGAGGGTGGCAGTCACCTCCTTGCACTACGAACTGTGTTTGGTTGTTTGCCCTGCCTTGCACTAGGACCAAGACTCACCTAGAGACTCCCGACTGTCTGCCCTGCCCTGCCCTGTCCTGCACTAGAATTGTAGCTTAGAAACTGGAATTCTAAGCTTCAGAAACTGCAATGTGCCTAAAGCAACATTTAGGGTGAGACTTTACATTTTGTAACCCATTTCTTTAGTGTATTAAGCTTAATTTGCATGTTTTGTTCTATTTGGTCACTAATCTGCTCTGTCCTGTTTGCTGTCCTCTGATAATCACTTCAAATCTCCTTTTTATAGTTAATAAACCTTCTTTTAACACGTGTAGCGGCCATTTCTTGTTTATTACGTTGCCCGATCTCACACCACCCTAAGTCCTGCCCCCACTCTACCCATTCCCTAGGCTCCCACTCCCATCCCCTGCCCCGATATGTCCCCTCCCATGCCTTTTCCTTCTCCCGCTCCTCTCTCTCACCTCCTGGGTGCTTTCTGCATGCTGCTGAGCAGCTGATCCCTGACGGACAGGAGTCACTAGGGCAAGAGGAAGAAGGTTCCACAGGGCTTCCAGTGGGGTGCTGAGCACTCATTTTATTTTCCATGGGTGCTTCAGCCCCGTAACACCCACAGTATCAACACCTATACATTCAAGGGTTGTATTTTAGCTGTAGCATTGCTCCAGGAGCTCACATGCAAGTCCTTTCCAACATTTTCCATCCTGTAACTGGGGCCTACACTCTGTCTGTGGATGTGTAACCTGGCATTTTCCCATGTTGAAATGCACGTGTGATAAAATGGGAATTTTAGCAATATTTTATGAAGGTTATGGATGCCTCTGTTTCACCTACATGCTGCTTTATTAACTTGTGAGCAGGGGAGTCTCTGGGCAGGCTAGAACATAGGTGTGGAGGATGTCTGGCTGTCTGGAGCCCTAGGTCATTGAGAAGATATTATCCAATACAATCTCTGGGACTTAGAGACTCAGACAGCAATAACCAAGAATGAGCAGCACAGAAGTCAGCCGAACGCCATGACGGGAGGTGAAGAGGGGTGGGGTGGTGATGTACACGCCCAGGGGGTGGGGCCTGGATGAGCGTGCATCCCCAACTGAGACAGAGAAGAGCAGAGAGAGAGTGAGAAGCTGGAGGAGGAGAAGAGAAAAAGAGAGATGGAGAGAGAGGCAGAAGGCGGAAGAGAGCTGAGAGAGAGAGGTGGAGGCAGTAGGAGGAGGAGAGAATGAGAGAGAGAGAGATGGCGCGAGAGACCGGAGGCTCAGGAGAGAAGACCGATATGGAGGAGAGACCTGAAAATCCCATCTTATGATGGGCTAACTGTCTAGTTGATAAGACTATTGAATAATATTGACTCAGATCAGATCTCCCACTAGAAGCTGAATCCTCCTTACAATTACTCTGAGAACTCTCATTTAGCCAGTTTTTAATCCATGTAGCATGGGCGACTTTCATTGTCTACAGTGCTAATTTTTCATCAAAGTTTCATGAAGAATGAAATCAAAGCCCTATCAGACTCAGAGACCTGGTCTACACTACATTATTGGGCCAGCTCAGTTATATCACACATGTCTGTGAAAAATCTCACATGCTCTGTCATTTTAAGCCACCCTAACCCCCATGTAAACACCACTAGTTTGATGTAAACATTCTTCCATCAACCTAGCCTGTCAAGACGTGAATGTTGCCCAGCAGGGTTGGAGCCCACCAGCCAGGATGCCACACTGGGGCCAGGAACCCTGCACACAGAGGGGATGGTGGCAGGGTGGAGACAGCTGGGAGGCTGGCAGCAAAGCTGTGGCTGGGGGTGGGCCAGTGGCAAGGAGGAAGGGGCAGAAATGACCCTCATCCAAGGGTGCCAGACAGGGAGACTCAAGGTTATTTCCCAACGCTCAGCATAGATCCTCACTGGCAATTTGCTGAGATCCCCACAAATCACACATGAGGAATATTTCCTGCCTCAGTACCAGAATCAGGCTCTAGTGCAGTGAAACTCCCAAGTGACTCTGCCACTCTCCATTCCCACAGTGACCCCTCCTGCTCCAGGGCACTCACCGGAGAGCTGAATGGTCGACTGTCGCTCTGTTTCCAGCAGGCCATTCCGCACGATGCAGCTGATCTCTCCAGTGTCATTTCCTTCTGTGACAGTGACTTGACTTTCAACACTGTATAGATTGTCCCCGCCCTCAGTCATGTAGGTCACAGGATCCATTGTCAAGTTCTGCCGATTCTTCCCAACCCACTGGAGTTCGGGTTTGGGGAACCAGCCTGTGGATCTACAGGCCAGTCCAATCCCCTGGCCCTGGGGGCCCAGAACTTCAATGAACACTGGAGCCACGGCTGCAGGGAGAGACACAGAATGTGTGTGCAAGGGAATTGGGTCTTTGATAGCAGCATGAGATTTCCCAGCTACCCCTGGGTATGGGGGGCTGTGATTAGAAAGCCCTATTCCCTTGTGTGCAGCCTCCCTAGGATCCCTCATCCTGACGGCTGGGGAAATTAAATAAAACCAGCTTGTGTCTCCACGGAGCACTGTGCCCTGCAGGCTCACAGAGGGACATGCGAGGTGAGACTGCTACCCAGAGTCCACTGAAGCAGCAGCTGAAATGCAGCCACTTCTGGGGTGGAGCCCAGCAGCTGTCAGGATCATAGCAGTGCAAAGAAGGAGGTGAGGGATGGTGACCTTGCCTACATTACCACTGTGACTCCTCCTCTGCTACCCTCCTAAACATTGTCCATTCTGGTTTTCTTGTCTCACATTGGTAATGGTGCCCTGGGCCATGTTACCCTATTCCCACCATGTTTAGATTTCTCTCCTCTTGTGCTGCATGCAACAACCCTGCCCTCATTTAAATCTCTCCCCAAAATACACATACCCTGCGGGGCCTTTGGACTAGGAGCCACTGAACATCGGAGATGACTGTATTGTCTGGGGCCGGGTTATTCAGTGACCCCAATGGGCAGAGAGCACCCCTTCCCCTGTCCTTGTGCAGCACTGAACACACAGTCAGCACCCAGGGAATAACAATCTTCCAGCCCTTGGATGCTGCAGGGGGAGTTCCAGGGAAGATAAATATAAATTGTCAACTGAGCTGGGATTTGGGCAAAATATGAGATAAGCTCCCACTCCCACCCCCTCACACACGCAGCAATGAGCATGAGGGCTGAGGGCCGTAGCTTTCTGGCTCATTGAAAAGAGGTTGTTAAATGCAGTAGTGACCCTCCAAGCACCACAGTGGGGTCAGTGCTGAGTGTGAGGGGAGAGCGCCCCCTATTGAGTCATGCACAGGACCCTACTGCCCAGCTGGGCTCAGTGTTGGTGCACTGCCAGTGAGACAGGGGCTGTGGCTGGGCCAA